TATGGTTTTCTTTTTTTAAAATTCCCCTGGCTGTTTGGGGTCTTTTCTGATTCCACACAAATCTTAAAATAATTTGTTCTAAGTCTCTGAAGAAAGTCCATGGTATTTTGATAGGGATTGCATTATACGTGTAAATTGCCCTGGGTAACATTGACATTTTCACAATATTAATTCTGCCAATCCATGAGCATGGAATATTTTTCCATCTCTTTGTGTCTTCCTCAATTTCTTTCAGAAGTGTTCTGTAGTTTTTAGGGTATATTTTGAGAACCATTTGAATGGTAAATGGTTCTCCAACCTTTTATTTTCAGGTTGTAGGTGTCCTTCTGTCTAAAATGAGTCTCTTGTAGACAGGACCCATCTATTTGCTGTCTACAAGAGACTCATTTTAGACAGAAGGACACCTACAACCTGAAAATAAATTTATTTTTTTATTGGTGTTCAATTTGCCAACATATAGCATAACACCTACTGCTCATCCCGTCAAGTGCCCCCCTCAGTGCCCATCACCCAGTCACCCCCACCCCCCGCCCACCTCCCCTTCCACCACCCCTAGTTCGTTTCCCAGAGTTAGGAGTCTCTCATGTTCTGTCTCCCTTTCTGATATTTCCCACTCATTTTTTCTCCTTTCCCTTTGTTCCCTTTCACTATTTTTTTATATTCCCCAAATGAATGAGACCATATAATGTTTGTCCTTCTCCAATTGAGTTATTTCACTCAGCATAATACCCTCCAGTTCCACCCACGTCGAAGCAAATGGTGGGTATTTGTCATTTCTAATGGCTGAGGAATATTCTATTGTATACATAAACCACATCTTCTTTATCCATCATCTTTCGACGGACACCGAGGCTCCTTCCACAGCTTGGCTATTGTGGACATTGCTGCTAGAAACATTGGGGTGCAGGTGTCCCGGCATTTCATTGCATCTGTATCTTTGGGGTAAATCCCCAGCAGTGCAATTGCTGGGTCGTAGGGCAGCTCTATTTTTAACTCTTTGAGGAACAACTTTATGGTCAACTAATATTCGACAAAGCAGGAAAGACTATCCACTGGAAAAAAGACAGTCTCTTCAGTAAATGGTGCTGGGAAAATTGGACATCCACATGCAGAAGAATGAAACTGGACCACTCTCTTGCACCAGACACAAAGATAAACTCAAATGGATGAAAGATCTAAATGTGAGACAAGATTCCATCAAAATCCTAGAGGACAACACAGGCAACACCCTTTTTGAACTTGGCCACAGTAACTTCTTGCAAGATACATCCATGAAGGCAAGAGAAACAAAAGCAAAAATGAAATATTGGGACTTCATCAAGATAAGAAGCTCCTGCACAGGAAAATAAACAGTCAATAAAACTAAAAGACAACCTACGGAATGGGAGAAGATATTTGCAAATGACGTATCAGATAAAGGGCTAGTTTCCAAGATCTATAAAGAACTTATTAAACTCAGCAAAGAAACAAACAATCCAATCACGAAATGGGCAAAGGGCATGAGCAGAAATCTCGCAGATGTTCTCCCTTGGGGGTCTTCCTTTTCCTCTTTTTCTTGTGAGTTCGTAGGCAAAGTGACTTTTTGTACCCTCTCGTGCTTCCTGAAGCTTTACTTGAAATCTTGCTTTAGAGATACCGCTTGGTTCCCAGCATCAATAGATTTAACAAATACCTAAGTATCATATCCTTTATACCAACTAGGGGAACCATGAAGGCAATAAGTAAGAAATTCTAAATAACTCCCCTGTTGGCCATCTGATTGAAGTTACTCACAAGGCTGGTAATAAGGATCATAAAACTATTGTTTGTGATGTTTTGAGTTCACATTTCAGTCTTTCTTTCTTTTTCTTTCTTTCTCTCCTCCTCCCCCTCCCCCTCCTCCTCCTCCCCCCACTCCTTTTTTTATAGTTCTTCCTCTGTGTCAGTGACTATGCCAGACTGAGATACTGCTGAGAACAAGGTCCTCAGGGTCCTAGGCCTTATGCAACTTGCAGTCTGGAAGGCAAAAGCGTTTAGACACTTCACTGACTGTGAGTATGGGGAGTACTTACCAAGTCAAACATCAGTTCTAAATCTTTTCCTGCTTTTGAAAAATTACTGATACCTTAGGCCCCAAAGCTGACTAGGGTTTCTGGGTAAGGCCATGAGCATAGCAGTTTTGAAAACTCTCCAGATGGTTCTACTGTGCATGCAGGACTGAGAATCATTGTCCCGTATCAGGGTTTCTCAGTCTCTGCCCTATTGACATCCGGGGTGATTTGTTGTAGGGCTGCTGCCCTGTCCATGGTAGGGGATTCAGCAGTGTCCCTGGCCTCTAGGTGCTAATAGCACTTCCTGTAAGTTTTTTTTTTTTATTTATTTTTTCCTGTAAGTTTTAATAAACAAAAATGTCTCCCCACACTGCCAAATGTCCTGAGTGGGGGGCAGAGTCCTTCTTTATACCCTCTGTTGAGAGCCACTGTTCACAGGCAGCAGGTCCTGGCTACTTCTTTGACCTACTCTCTGCCTTGGCGAGTCTGCTCCAGCAGTGCCAGTTCCTGCATGTTCCTCCGACCCCATGCTCCTGTTCCTGTCCTTTTATGGCTTCCTCCAAACAACCACTTGAACTCCTGTGCTGTTTTTCAAGTCTGCTCAGTGCCCCCTCCTCAGGAAGATCTTCCCTTACTATCCTATCTCAAGTAGACATTTCCCCATCTCTTTGTCCTCTTACCCTGCTTTAGTTTGCTTCACAGAACTGATTTCTCCTTGACATTTTATTAGAAAACTTTTTTCGCCTACCCCTCCCCATAGCCCGTAAATTCCACAAGGGCTGTTTAAGTTTCTGATGCATAGGGATCCCTGGGTGGCGCAGCAGTTTGGCGCCCGCCTTTGGCCCAGGGCGCGATCCTGGAGACCCGGGATCGAGTCCCACGTCGGGCTCCCGGTGCATGGAGCCTGCTTCTCCCTCTGCCTGTGTCTCTGCCTCTCTCTCTCTCTCTCTCTCTGTGTGACTATCATAAATAAATAAAAATTAAAAAAAAGTTTCTGATGCATAATAAGTGTACAGCATTTGCTGAACTAATGAATGAGTCCGCGTTATAAAATGAGAAATGTGAGGTATTAAGGAGAGTTGTTGTCTTTGGAAAGCAATCCCAAATTCTTTGTTTCATCATCCCCTAAAATGATTAATTTTGTTTTTGAACTCTTATATGGAGTAAAAGTTGCTTTCAAGTGAAGGTCGTATGTGCACACATACCCACACATATCCACATGCACACAGGTGTTTGACCACTGACAAGCAAATTAATGTGTTAAAACTTTACTCATTAAGAGGAAGCGATTACATTGCAAAACCTTAGCACTCTCTTTTTGACATTATTTCCATTTGCGATCGTTGCATCTCTTGTCTTACTGATTTATCTTTACCAGTACAAAATGTTCATTTATCTCCAGATTCTGTAATTGAACGAAGTTGTAAGCTCAAAGCCTGAGTTTTGGTCAAAATACTGCATTATGTACCTGCAGTGATCATTTGTAACAAAACGTAGCCAATACTGGTGGAGAAATGCCTACGTTTTAAAGGATAGGATCTTCCATGGGATAAGGAGGGTTTTGCCCTCTAAACTTTCAGAAAAAGCTTGACAATATGTTAGAGGTAAAATAGTATTTCACGCTTCAGACTATGATCTAAAGATATTACGGGAAGCAGGCGGGGACGGATGTAGCGTGGTGCCTGTTTTAGAAGCCCACTTTCCCACCCATCAGCCGTTAAGCCAGACCTGACTTCCATCGTGGGTTAGGACCTGGCTAACCTTTGTAGGAACCCTTTATTCCTGCCATTGTCATGAACAGAGAATTCCCAAGAGAATCAAATGCAGTAAACTCCTCTAGAAGGGGGAGTATGAGGTTGGAAATGTGAGCATGGGCTTGTCTGGAGCCAACAAACTGCAGTAATGGGTCCTGGGTAATTGGGAGCACACTTGCTTGGGTCTTAGGAGCCAGGAGCCACCGACAGAGGAGAGTAGGAGGGTTCACTAATGTGTACTGCTGGCCTTTTATTAGCCAAGGACTTTACACGCATTATGCTATTGAATCTTTACAATTGTTGTTGACCCTATTTTGCAGGAAAAAAATCATAGTTCAGAGAGGTGAAATAACTTGCTAATGTTTCAGAATTTAAACATCATGAAGGTCGGATTTGAATTCTGTTCTAAAAGGGCTAAAATTCATGCTCTTACTGCTATTACCGTATTGCCTAGAAGAGAAAAAGTTGATACAAACTTTGATAACCTTGCAGTTTTGCGTTATTAATGCTTGCCTAACACTACATACTTTCATTAGGCTGAATGTAAGGAGTTAGAAGATAATATAATGTAAAGTAGGATGCATTTTTTTTTTATTTGACAAGAACAGCCTCCCTTTCAGAACTCTGGAGGTCACTCGGATAGGAATGTGCAAATTTTCTTGAGAGCCTAAGGTCACTTTTGGGGAGAGAAAACATTCCAAATCCCCAAACCGGCTTTCAGCGCCAGATTCAAGTGGATGTGCAGGAGTCTTTATTTACCCTGATAAAATAAATTTCTGGTGTTTATGGACCAGCTGGTCTGTTGTATGCTATTTTAGTAGCCCAAGTAGACTACGACAGAGTTCAAGAGAAGATATGGATGGGAATGTAAGGTGTTTCCCTACATTTAGGTTACAGAATTTTAAATGATAAATTCAGCAATCAGAAAATGAATGATTAGTCACATTTTCCTCAATACCCTGGATAAGATCTGCCTTTGGGGCTATTATCAATGAGACATGGCAACAACCTTTGAAACAGCCATCGGAAGCCAATATTCACGGGTGGCACAATGAATGATTGTGCTATTATATAAATAATGATGCAACCAGCATTAAACAAATGGTATTAAAGAACCTCAGAGGCAAGAAGATCTATCATGTTTCCATACAACAGGTTTCAAAGAGCCATCGCATTGTGAGTAATAACGGCACTGCTACATTTTTCTCTTTGCAAGGGATACGAAATTAAGCAGAAATTGAGGATTCGACGATAAAGAACACAAACAGCTGGTTTCAGGATCTGAACAAAAAGAGTTGGTGGTCGGACACTATAACGAACCTTCCCAGGCACTGATTAAAAAATAAAATAAAGAAATATTTCTTCTCTACTCACTATTCTGGATCTTTATTCAGGTACCTCACCATAGCTTACATGGGCTTGTAAATTTTTAAATACATCTTAAAGTCAAATCGTTTATATTGTCTATAATTTTTTCCCCGCTTGGAGATCCTGCATGACCTAGGTCTTGCCTGACGTTAGCAGAGGAGAGTAAAGGCATGGCAGGATGTCTCCCTTGTAAGGACTCTAAATGTAGCCTTCAAGTCATGAAGCAAGTGCCTCTGGAGGAAATTAATATGTGTATCTCATTGGCAGGCTGAAGAAGTTGTCCAAAAAAGCGGAAACTCCCCAGAACATTAATCAAGGAAAAATGAACAGAGAACATTTTGTGCCAGTAAGAAAGTGTAGCATCAGCATGAGCATGAGATACCTCCAAGTGCTAAGCTTTCATACCAGGGAGGGCCACCGTACAATAATACGCCCAGCTCTTGATTACTTTTCCTAATGAGAGTGAAGCACAGCATGGAAAAGTGACAACTTGAGATAATTCAAAGTGTCACATTAGCTTTGAGTTTCAATCTCTCCTATAACCAGTCTTCATAAAAAACTGCTAATGAGTAGTAAATTGGACTGATTTGAGTTTTAGTTCAATTTGCTTCTTGTGCTAATCTTTTGAGAGAGGGTGTAAGACAGCGAGACGTCAGAGATGGCACTAGAGCCAGGATCATGCGAGCCAAAGCCAAGTGACCTGGGCTCGAGGGTCCGTTCTGCAGTCAACAAGCTGTGTGGCTCTGGGCAAGGAAGGTGAGGACATCAGCTGTTCGTGAACCTCGGTCAGGTGCCACGCACCGTGCTGGATCCGGAGGAGAGTGATGAGGGCGCAGCTGGGGTCCCCAGGCGCTCACAGCCCCCTGGTGGAGACTGATGCGTGAAAGGGGGAGTGGAGCCCCTTCCGAGGCATCTTACAGGGTTATGAGCAATGGGCCCTGGGAATTCGGACTACAGTGTGATGAACAATGAGACGATCCATAAGGACACATGATAGTGCTGCCCGGTTGCTAAACACGGTGACTGGTAATTAAAATATGTAATTTCAGTGTTTTAGGATGTACTCTGAAAAGAGTCAAAAGAGACCAGAGAAATGAACTTCAGTAATATATTTCCAATATCCCTAAAATATTATTTCAGCAGATAATAGATACGGAGTCATTAAAAAGATAGTTCACACTCCTTTTTTTCCGCCCAAGTGTTGGAGGTCAGTGTTGGTTTCACACTGACGGCGCGCGCTGATTGGGACGAGCCACGGTTCAAGTACTCAGTGGCCACCAGCGGCCCGTGGCCTGAACCGTGTAGTAGTAAGTCTGCATTTATGTCCAAGAAGACTATTTATGTCCAAAGCATCGGTGCACCATGCAGGGAGGGATTTCTAGCCTAACCTAAGGACCCGGGAAAAAGACCCATGGGATTTAAGTCTCTACGACAGTGGTTTTAATATACGAGTTCACCCACGGACACTGACCAGGCACGTAAGAATCTTGTAGGAAACTTATGTATAAATGTATAAAAAAAAGGATTCCTAGATCTCTGAGACTCTGAATCACGAGGCCCGGGCTCAGCCTAGGAATCCGGATTCTCTAAGAGAGCTCTGATCATCACCAAGCGGGTGGCGGGCCGGGAGGTCCGGGCCACAGGCCCAGGAAGCGCCTGCCACGGTGGACCAGGTCGTGGGACTTTAGGTGGCACCAGCAGGAGGATCTTCCCCTGGGGAGCCAGCCGGAGAGTAAATAAATGCCTCTTTGGAAGCGCCCTCCCTTCGGTTGTGGGTCGGCCGCAGGGTGGGGGCCCCCGGGCCTTCTCTGCAGCCGCCCCACTGGCTCGGCCGCGGTCGTGGGCGCGGGGCTCCAGGAGCTGTGCCGGCTCACTCTCCTCCTCTCGTTTACACTTATTTTTTCATTGTTTTTAGCTGTTCGATGTCTTTCAAACGAGCCGTCTCAAAGCTGCCCATGCGGTCCTCGTGGGGGATGTTAAAAGCCTTTCACGGGCTCCCCTCCGCATCCACTGAAGCCGGCAGCGGGGGTCGGGGCCTTGCACCTGCTGCCCCGCAGCCTCGGGTGGGTGTTGGGTCCCCGCCGGGCCCCGGGGTGTCGGCAGCTCACAGAGCCGGCCTTGGCACCCTGGGGTCCCCGCCTACTGCTTGTTCCTGTCCCATCACCCCGCTTGTGATCTCAGCTGGCCTCCTGGCTTTATTTCTTTTCTTTTTGTTATTATTATTGCGTATGTATTTTACTGGGGGGGAGGGCAGGAGAGGGGGGAGGGTGGGAGCAGGCCTACGCCGGCCCGGACCCCTGCGCCTGGCTGCCCCTCAGCCGGCCCTGGAGCCGGCAGAGGCAGTGGGTCTAACATGTCTGACCCCCACCCCCCGTTTCTAGGTGGGTTCCCCTGTGCCTGACCCACCTGGGTCACCAGCAGCTCCGGGCCCCGCTGGACACCCACGCCACCTTGGGCACGGGTCCCTGGCCCCCTGTCGCCTGCACTCTCCACTGGCTCTCACATGATCTTCTCGGCTTCTGGTTCCCCCGACTGTTCCCCCATTAGCCAGGAGACCCTTTAAGGCCGGGTTCAGGATCGCCCTCCTGCTCTGCCCCCGTGGGACGGTGGCCCTTCCTGACTGAGCCGTTGGGGCGGCGCCTGCAGACACCTGCAGGACCCCAAGGCCTCACCTGTGCCCTGCTCAGCACCGCCCTGCCTCCGGCGCGGGCCCTTCCCCGTAGTCCTTGGGCCCCGAACCCGGGGTGAGGCCCTTGATGTCCAGAGGGGCCGGCGGCCACACTAGGGCCTGAACCCCGGGCAGGTGCCGAGGCTGCACAGGCAGCTGGAGCCCCGGGCCTCGGGGCACGGGGGGCTGATCCCGGATCTGCGGGGGCCCTGGGGACTGGGCCCAGCCTGCTGCCAGCCCAGGGAGGCCTTGAGCCCCTTCACCCCACCGCGAGGGTGCCCTCTGTGCCCGGGAAGGAGAGGACATGAGGGAATGTCCTGGCCGGGCCTTCAGGGTGTCGTGTCCTACTCTGTGCTGTCCCCAGGGCCCTTGGGCCCACGAGGGTGTCCTCATTCACGGACACTTGGTCCAGTCGCCATTGGTGGCAGAGGCCGAGCTTTGGAAAGTCCTGTGTCACCGTCTCGCTGATGCCACTCGCTGTTCACACTCTTCCAACAATACCATTTGAACTTCTGAGCAAACTTACTAGTCTTTTTTTTTCTTTTTTTCTTTCTTTTTTTTTTTTTTTTCAGTCTTGACAGAATGAAACCCTAATGGCAGAAAAATAGTTGGATGCAGTGGCTATTCTGGGTTAAAAGTTGCCTCCTTTATGCTCTTTTATATCTCACCCACAGCTGGTGGAGTGAGGACGTTGTCTGTCTGTCTGCTGGAAAGGAGTCCTCAAAACTCCTGAGGAAGGTTGGAGTAACTGCCGGCTCGTAAAGCACGCTGGGCATCTACACCGGCAGCGATCTCATGGCTCGACCAAAGTCACTCTCCGAGAGCCCCTAGTGCTACATAAAGGGTCGATGTTGCACTAAACCTGACCCGTTTTTTGACTGTGACACGTGGACATCCCTCTTCTTCGTTTGGCCCAGTTGCCCCCCGAGTGATGGATATATTCTGAACATGACGACAAGGAGCAGATGACAATCATGACTGGGGCTTCTCCTTTCTCCCTTTGGCTCATCGACTGTTGGAGCATCTCACAGGGGTGGCAGCTCCTGCCTTCCCTACCTACTGTCACTCCCCATATGCCCCTTTCTTGTAGATCAGCTCTACTGAATTTTCAGCCTGGTTCTGACTGGGTCATCCAATACAAACAACCTCAGGTTTACTGAAAGGTAGGATCTAGGATTAATCATCGTCTTGGTCCATTTGAGAAGGTTCAGGGATTTGAACTCCAGGGCCTCTCACAACTTCAACGTTTGGTATTGGGAAAGAGAAGTCTGCGTACGAGTGAGCCCAGTTTAAGCTCTTGACAAAGAAGGAGGCTTAGTAAGGGAACTCTTTCTTGAAGAATTACCAGGGACGTAAGCTGGAGAGAGGACTTTCAAGGAATTGAATCTTAATCCTTATGTGCTTGTTTCTTTTAAGCTAACACAATTCTTTCCAGGACCATGTAGACAAATTTTCATTTAATGACTAAAATCAAAGTAACCATCATAAAAGTTTTCCTCAGGTAATGGGTGTTATCATTTGAAAACCTTTCCCTATGTGTTCTTCTTCTTCAATACAGTGGCTTCTGTGACTATAGACTTTTAGCTTGACGATCCTTTTTTTTTAAATAAATTTTTTTTATTGGAGTTCAATTTGCCAACATATAGCATAACACCCAGTGCTCATCCCGCCAAGTGCCCCCCTCATTGCCCATCACCCAGTCACCCCAATCCCCCGCCCACTTCCCCTTCTAGCACCCCTTGTTCATTTCCCAGAGTTTGAAGATCCTTTGGAAAGAGAATAGAAAGGTACATTATGATATAGAGGAGGTGTCTGCAAGACAGGAATGAGAAAAAATAAAGGCCCTTTAGTTCTCTGAGGAAAGGGATAGATGGAAGATAAGAGAGAACAGATCAGATATTAATCATTTCTACCCATGTACCCCACCGGCCTCGGCCAGGTCATCCTTGAAAGGTAGGGGCCAGGTGTGTAAACATAAAATGTAGAATTTGTGGAAGAAATGGAAATAAGAGCTTGTGCCCCACTTCCTCTTTGAGTTTCTAGAAATAAACCATCTAACAGGATCATCAGCATTAGCACGGTGTTTGCATGGGTGCCGGGCTCAGGAGAATGGTTGTGTGCTTCATTTAGGTAGAGAGAAATCTGGCTACAGAAGTTTCCCTGAGCTCCCATAAAGAAAGGATGCAGAATGTCCGTGTATAATCAGAGGAGATGACATGGAGACGGCTAAGAGGAGAGAGCCAGAAGGCCTACTTTGGGTCGAG